GTTACCTCATCAAAGACTTGAGATTGGTTTACAGTGTAAATTTTCTTTTCATCTATTTTGTAACTTTATGCTCTCGAGTGGTTGAAAGCTCTTTTAGCATTAGTGCCTTGTGAATTGTGATGTGAACGTTCCTGTTCACTTAGCTTATGGTGCTCTAATGTTCTCTTTTATTTCTGAGTAATTTGAAGAGAGATTTATTGAGACTATGAAATTGGTAATATACTATTTTGTTGTAAAAATACATTTGAACAATGTAGCATTTTAAGGAACTAGAAGACTTGTGAGCTGATTAATACGAATTTAATCACTGTCAGGTTTACCTCCAATTGCTTTTTGTTTACTGTAATTTTCAATCAAAGACAGTAAGTCTGGATTTGGTTCAATACTGTCTTTTCTATTATTTCACAAGTTCCATGGAAAGCAATGTGCTTGCACAAGCTTACAACTGAAGTAATGTCCTTGTTAGTCATGCCTTCATTAGTAAGGTCTAATTAAATAGGAAGTCTCCATCTGTAGATACTTTCATATCCCAGTGCTTTTGTGGCTGAACCAAACAATTGATTTTTCCTTGGTCTTTCATGAAAAGGCACGGTAGCAGCTCTTTTCTTAACACTTTGCAGTTTGCCAACATTTCTTTTGAAGGATCATCACCATGAATGGATGTTGTGTTTCCGTGACATCTTAGTTGGATGGTGTGCTTTACAGTTCTGGGCTTCCAGCTGTCCAATTTGGAGATGTAGTGTACTGAACAGTATCTCTTCTGCAGACCACAATTCTGTGTTTGTTCAAAAGAAACCAAAATTCTTGGAAGGGGCTGATATACCCTTTGTGTCACCCCAGGGTACATTTAGGACACTGCCAGCTTGCATCCAGCACTGTAAGGTGTGTCACAGGGCTCGCGTATCACCCTGATGTACCCTCTGATGCTATGTATGTGCATAATACAACTATTCCAGTCCTGTTTCATACATCCCTGTTTATACATTCAGCAACTCCCTGTATTTCATCCCTCCTTTCGTTTGCAGTTACTTATAGTGGTGTTTGGTTGGTTTACTGTCACTGACACCTGAGAGCTGCTGCAGCACAGAGAAAGGGCTTCTGTCTGAAAAGTGTTATCATCATGCTTTGCTTCCTTTATAACATTGTCTGTGGCTGTGTAAGACCAGATCCAGTAAATGACTCATTGCAAGAAATTGTGTGTATTTGATTATACTTCTGTTTGTTGCTGCACAATTTGACATTGTTTCAATATGAAAAGTTTAGCATGATAGACAAAGAGGAAAGGTTAAGGTATACTGAAATTAAATTTATTTGGATAGCTTTACTTCTAGTGATACTTACCTACATTAGTCCATTTTGTGGTATTTTTATCTGTTGGTTATGGAGCCTTTGTTTATACATAGCATGGGTTTTGTAAGAACCTTTCGTTCAAATATTTTTGTAGATTACTATAAAAAAGGCTTATTGAATGACAATGAAACACTGGAAAGTATATGTGTTTGTTATGAAAGGGAAAAAGGTGAGTGGCTTATTTACATTTATTATTTGTTTGCTAATTTTGTGTTTATGGTTTGAATTTATTGAATGAATTAATTTAATTAAGTACATTGAGATGATTTAATTGCAATCATTAATAAAATCCTTGCTTACATGGTATTTCTGTTGGAATTTAATATGAATGTTTTCTCCTACGAGTCATTAAGTGTCATTTTATCATAAACCAAATACTTGTTAATGCTATGTTAATTATTTTGTATTGTAAATATTTGACTGAAGATGTTAGCTCCTTTTCAGTAACCTGAAAAGTGGTGTTGCTGTTTCTTCGTGCTTGAAAAACAGACTGAGTTTCCAGGATGTGCTCTTCAGCCAGTTGCCTTTTTACTTTCTGGTCACAGAATCACAAAATCACAGAATTGGTTGAGTCCAACCTTTGACTGAACACCACCGTGTCAGCTAAACCATAACGCTGAGTACCATATCCAGTCATTTCTTGAACACCTCCAGGGATGGTGATTCCACCACTTCTGGACAGCCTATTTCAATGCTTAATCACCCTTTCAGTGAAGAAATTCTTCCTGATGTCCAACCTGAGCCTCTCTTGGTGCAAGTTGAGGCCATTTCCTCTTGTCCTGTCACTTGTTACCTGGGAAAAGAGGCCAACCCCCACCTGGATAACGCTGTTCAAGTAGTTGTAGAGAGTGATAAGGTCTCCCTTGAACCTCCTTTTCTTTAGACTAAACACCCTCAGCTCCCTCAGCTTTTCCTCATATGACTTGTGCTCCAGACCCTTCACCAACTCTGTTGTCCTTCCCTGGACACGCTCTGACACCTCAATGTCTTTCCTGTTGTGGGGGCCCAGAACTGGACACAGTACTTGAGATGCAGCCTCAGCTGTTCTCATCACTTCCCAGGTCCTGCTGTCCACACTGTTGCTGATACAAGCCAGGATGACACTGGCTGCCTCAGCCACCTGGGCACAGGCTGGCTCATGTTCATGTGCTGTCAACCAGCACCCTCAGGTCCTTTTTCTGATGGTTTACTTTCCAACCACTCTGCCTCCAACCTGTAGCAGTGCCTTGAGTTGTTTTAACCCAAGGACAGGACCTGGCACTTGACCTTGTTGAACCTCATACAGTTGACCTCAGCCCATCAATCCAGCCTGTCCAGATCCCTCTGCAGAGCCTTCCTGCCCTCCAGCAGATCAACACTCCCACCCACCTTGGTGACATCTGCGAGCTGACAGAGGGTGCACTCAGTCCCCTTGTTCACATCATTGATAAAGATATTAAACAGGATTGGCCCCAGTACTGAGCCTTGGGGGACACCACTGTGACCAGCCACCAGCTGGATTTCACTCCATTCACCACCACTCTCTGGGCCTGGACATCTGACTGACCATTTTTACCCAGTGAAGAGTCCACCTGTCCAAGCCATGAGCAGCCAGTTTCTCCAGGAGAGTGTGGGGGGAAATGGTGTCAAGTGCTTTGCTGAAGTCCAGGTAGAGTCACCTGGTTGTAAAAGGAGGTCAGGTTGGTAAAGAAGGACCTGCCTTTCCTAAATCCATGCTGCCTGGGCCTGATCCCTGAGTTGTCTTGTATATGCTGCATGATGTCACTCCAGACAATCTGTTCATTACCTTCCCCGGCACTGAGGTCAGGCTGACAGGCTTGTAGTTCTCCAAATTCTCCTTCCTACTGTTCTTGTAGGCATTGTATTGGCAAACCTCCAGTCAACTGAGACTCTTCCATTTAGCCAGGGATGCTGATAAATGATGGAGTGTCGTGGCTAACTCTTCAGCCAGCTCCCTCAGTACCCTTGCATGGATCACATCCAGTCCCATAGACATGTGGGTGTCTGAGTGGCACAGCAGGTCAATAGCTACTTCCTCCTGAATTGCAGGGTATCTGTTCTGCTCCTTATTCCTGTCTACCACCTCAGAGGTGTGGTTGCTCTGAGGATAACTGGTCTTCTTGTTGAAGACTGAGACAAAGACAGCATTAAATACCTCAGCCTTTTCCTCATCCATGGTGACAATGTTCACCCACCCCCCCTGCCTCACATCAAATAAAGGATGGGAATGTTCCTTGGCACTGCTTTTGTTATCGATGTATTTATAAAACCACTTTTTATTATCCTTCACAGCAGTGGCCAGATTGAGTTCAAGCTGAGCTTTTGTCTTCCTAATTTTCCCTCTACATGACCTAGTGACATCTTTGTACTCTTCCTGAGTTGCCTGCCCCTCCTTCCAAAGGTCATAAACTGTCTTTTTTTTTTTTTCCCCCTGAGTTTCAGCGAAAGATCAGACTGAAAGGTCAGCCAGACCGGTCTTCTTCCCCACCTGCTCATGTTTTGGCACACAGGGACAGCCTGCTCCTGCACCTTTCAGATTTCCTTCTGAAAGTATGGCCAGCCTTCCTGGACACCTTTGCTGTTAAGGACTGTTTCCCAAGGGACTCTCTGAACCAGTGTTCTGGGCAGACCAAAGTCTGTCCTCTGGAAGTCCAGGGTAGAAGTTTTGTTGACCCCCTTACTTCACTGAGAATCAAAAACTGTCATTTCTTGGTCATTATGCCCAGGATGGCCTCTGACCACTTTGTCTCCTACCAACCCTGCTCTGCTCCTAAACAGCAGGTCTAGTGGGGCACCGCCTTCCAGTCTGCCCCTTACATAGTCAGTTCTCTAGTTTCTGTTGGTTTCCTCAGCATTGGTTTTAGTTTCCCTTTGTCCCTTCTCTCTGTAAACGTGGTTGTGGGTGGTCTCAGTCCACTGACTGATGCACTGTTTGGCAAAGGTGTCTGTCCTCTATGTCATTGAAAGTCTGCCATTTGCAGCGGGTGCCTGCACAGCAAATCTTAGCGCTCTCTCTCTGTCTGTCTTACTATTTCCATGTCTACAAGGCTTACCATTTTACATGATCCTTTCAATTCCATCCAAATAACTTCTGGCAATTTTGGTTTTAGACATTGTTGAATTATCAGAATTTCCTTGGGTGTTTCAGTTGGTCACATCCTTAAAGAGACACTTGATGTACTTAATATGAAAGATGAAATCACTCTGTTGCATGTCTGATTATGCAATTATTAGCAAGTCAAAAATCACGCTTTCAAATTGCATAGTCCAGAATTTTACAGGGACGTCTTTTGTGTGCCCTCTTTCTCATTAAATATGCAATAATTTAATTTAGGTAATGATTTTGTCAATAATTACACTGATGAAGTAAACAGGGATTTTGTTTGGGTCTCAAATTTGCTGTTTAGACAAATTTTTTTTATTGAAGTCAAACATTCAGCTTGATTAGTGATGGACAATTTAGAGAGTATAGAATTGCCTGTCGTTCCAGCCGAGATACAGCAAAATCAACAGGTCTTCACAAAGCCTCCTCTTCCATTATAGATCAAGTCAGAAAGCCAGGGTTCCTTTGAGGAGCTAAGTTTTGTATAGGGATAGAGAGTACTTATTTTCTTTCCAGTTTATAAATGTTTGCAGAAATTGCCCAAGCTGTCTTGGAGAATGTCTGAACAGCTGAAGAACAGAAAAGTCTTTTCTACTGTGCAGATTTTTCTCTGTATGAACTTTTCAAGGCTGAAAGAAATTTCAAGCAGGTAAGGTGCTTCTGTTTCAAGAATTGCAACCGAAAAGCTTATCTTGTGCAAATATGAATTCAAAAGTCATACTGCAGGCCACATAAGTGGGAAAGCGACCAGTTTTTAATATTCTTATTAATCAATTCTTTTCTGTATAATGCAGTAAAATGCCTTTTTTTTTTTTCCCTGAGTAAAATGAGGAGAGATTCAAAGAAGAAATCAGTATCTTTTCTTTTGTGCCTTGGTACTGCTTGATGAAAAAATTCCAAAATGATTTGGAAGTATTCAGATGTTTCAACTGCCTTTCTTTCACAGTATGCTACTTGGATATATACTCCTTATTCAAAGGAATGGGCAGTAGCTCACATCTTTGCAAGTCTGTAATTACCTAAAGGTATGTGACAAAACCCCCAAATAGTGAAAGGTGCTATTTACTAGTCAGATTCTGCATCTTACCATTTCAGTTGAATTGTCAGGGTTTGGTGATCCAGAAGAGGGAGCTGCCACATAAATTAAGTTTTCTTCAAATTAACAAAATCTCCTTTAAAACCCTGCATGAAGTTGTTTGTTTGTTTGTTTGTTTTGTTTTAAGGTTGACTTCAGAGATTTCATGTGATGTCTTTTTGGTCACTCAGTTCATAGGACACCATTAGAGGCTTAGATGTTTAATTTCCCTCAGTTTTCAGCATTGGTTCAGTGTTTATCTTTAAACATTGTGTTTGAATACCGCCCTAAAATCTTTGGTTGGTATGATGAATGCAGTCCCTTTTACTGAATCTGTTGGGTCTTTTTAAACATAGATGTTTGACTAGCATGCTGTAGATGTTTAATAGATATTTTCTGTAGCACGCAGGAAAGACTTTGTGTTGGCTGGCCTTCCTCAGTGCAAGTCCATGTTAGATGGGGGTGGCTTCTGGGCCATTGTAGTATTTTTTCTGTGTAAGAGGTGGTTCTTCTGTCACAGTAAGCACATACAGCTAATAGCAAAATATATGAAAAAATGGCGAAACTAATGTGCACACTCCAATCTGCTTTTTAATGTACTCTCTCTTTTTTTTTTTTCGTCTCCTTAGCACTGCAGTGCAATTTATAGTGAGTCAATATATCATTTGTGGGCTATAAAAGTAGAAAACCATGAGGTACTTGGAGAAGGCATTAAATCGTGCTTATTAAAACTTGTGTGGATAGTGAGGAAGGAGACCAGACTTCTCTGGGCATGTTTTAAAATGCATAATTTACCTAGGTCCTGGTATTTATTGGTTGGTGGAACTCTAGATTGCTACCTGCTCTAATGATAAATCTTTCAAAGCTATCATACCTCATTATGGTCGTTTCATATTAACAACTGATGCAGTGATGTGACTTTGTTTCCTGAGGAACTACAATAGTGAGAAGCAGGTGAGTCTTTTTTTCAACTGAATAATATATTCCCTGCTTTTTGTCATTAAAAGCTAAAGCGGACTCTCAATATTAGGAGAAGAGGGAATACTGTGCTGTGCTGCTTATATGTTTGTGGGGGATCACCTTTCATGTTTTGTGCAAATTTTTAGGTGCTGGGACTTGTCCAAAGAAGGGCAATGGAGGGTCCTGGAGCACGAGTCTGATGGAGAGTGACTGAGGTGGACTTGTAGATATGTGTGACTTTTTCTTCCTCCAGGAGTTTTCAGAATAAGTAAATAAATACTGGGTTTTTTATATACTTAATATTTTGTACACGGCTATTATAGTTCAAATATATAATATTTAAAAATATTTGTGTGTTCTTAAAACTGATGACCTATTTGTATGTTTTTAGGTCTTCCATCGAATACAATTTCTTTCCAGAATGCATACATCCCCCAGATGTCCTGGCTGTGTTTATTTGCAAGCGCATTTTATAGCGGCTCATGTCACAGTGAATAGAGTTGACAGTTGGGCTGATTGCAGGAATATGCAAAATGTTAACCTCATAAATCTTTCTCCACCTACTGTATTATGTAATTTTTACAAAATATGCAGAAGTATGGTGCAAGAGACAGTTCCATTATTTTAGTTGGAACCATTTTGGTATTGCAGTTACCGATGGTGTATTCAATTCAGAGACAATTACATCTGGACACTAACAGGAGCTGTTGATTTGACATTCTATTCATACAGGGGGCACATGTCATTCAAAAGTGAGTTGTAAAACTGTTTAGCATGGTTGCATTGTTAGTGATGTGCCTTTCCACTTCACACAACTCCTATAACTAAATACCATATTTAGTAGAGTCTTGAAATCCTGAGACAAAAATAGCACGCGATTTCTTTAGGAGATACAAATTATATTAATAATCCTTTTCTTTATACTCAGAATAAACTTCTATGTTAAGACTAGACTTAAAGATGCAAAGTAGAAGTGTTATTCTTGCAAGACTTGGTGGTTTCTTGTTTAATCTGTCTTACTGATGAATTGTCATGATCTTTCAAATTTTTAATACAGACCCGTTTTCATCAATATATGGTTTTGTCTGTTGGATAACTCATATTTTTGAAGGTTCTCTGATAAGCTCTTGTGTTAGCATTGTAAACTCTGCTTTGAAGTTGATTGGTTGTTTTGGAAATACCCTGTGCTTCAGATTTTGTTTATTTGCAAGAAGCACCAACTTGCAGTCCCTCATAATGATATACAAAGTAGATAAAATAAATTTTAAAAAAGAATAATTCTTATTTTTTATGCACTACAACACAAAAAATTCAAATTGTGGTCTTTTATTCCCTTGAGATTTTTTTCATGTGGGTTTTTTGTTCCTAAACTTGGCAAGCTATTACTTTCAGTGCATGCTGTTTCCTCTATTCTAAACCAGGACATTACAGCCATGTTTCCCTTTGACTGCTTTTCCTGGGTTTCTTAGAGTTTTTTCTCCCCAAGAACATTTGCCCTAGTGGAATGTCCACCTTTCCTAAGTGGAAGCTAAAGAGACCTTGCGAGTCTGTTGAGTGTGTTTAGTGTGTAGCTGTGCATTGATGTTTCTTCACAAAGGTACCACCATGCCTCAGGAACTTTGACTTTATGTTGCTTTTTGATTTCTCCCTCTCCTTGTGCTCCTAATTAAATGAATTAATTAATTAAAAATCTCACTTAAAATGTAATACCTATGTTGACCTCTGGAAGTAGCAATTGTGCATTGAAATTTATTTAAATTTAAAAATACTGCAATATTAACTTGGTATTTCCGATATCTAATCTGATGATTTTAGAGGCATAATCGTTCAGTAATAATTCCAAAAATACACAGAGGTTAGTTAAAGGGCTTGACTTGGCTTTTCCCGATAATGTCAAAACATAAAATGTACCAGTGGAGAAACAGTTACTAGAATATTTTGTGTCAAGGAAACTGACTTCAAAGTTTGAGCTTCTTGATTCTACCGTGAAAGAAAACACCTCTGCTAGAGGACATCTCTAATAGCAGTAAGAGGCTTTCTCTCTCTCCTATGCTGAGGTGAGTCTCTGTAGCAGCTTGTGACCTAAATGTCAGACCTCAATACTCATATGGCAGAAACCGCTTTATTTTAGTGCAAGTTCATAAAGTACCCAGAGCAATGCCTGTGCTGACTGGGGCTGGGCAATACTGACTTTGACAGCCCTGTCACACTTGCAAAGATCACTTACCTACAAAGAAGCTGCAAAGCATCTGACAAAGGTGTATATAGATATTTATATATCTCCTTTTATCAAATGCCTGAAAGAAAGCATGTGTTCAAACCCTGTGGTTGCGAAGCTGAACAAATAAAGGAGGATTACAACCCCCACACTTCTAATGACCTTGTCGTGTACTATTTCTATAGGTACCCTGCCACATTTGGCTACCAGGTTTTATGTAGCTCTGTTTTATTTTTTGTGTAAACAGGGTGACAGTAATTAGAGCTCTGTACTTCTCCAGATATGGAGCTAAGTGTTGTTTCTTTGGTAAGAATAGTTAAATATGTAACCATCCACATAGGTTCCCTTTCCCTTTTTGTGGAGAAAACCAGCAAGTGCTTACCTATGTTAATGTAACATTTGAGTTCAGATGATAGCACAAGTCAAGAAATTCTAAGATATAGTTCCCACAGCAACCATAATTCACCCTTGTTGCTGTGAAAGCACAAAAGCCTGCACCAAATACCGTGCAGAATACTGCGTATATGTAAGTGTGCGAGACACAGTTGCTAGGAGAGCCATAATTTTTAATTTCTAGAGGTATTTACATTCACATTTCATATCTTTTAAGTATTTGTATTTTATTTTATTTGAACAGTGCAGTAACGAAAAACTGAGGGAAAGATGCCATTTGGATTAGTGTATCTTTTTGCTTTCGTATAATGTACAATTGATTATACTACTATCTCTACCTTTCTGTTGACTTTTCCTTTATTTTTAAGTGAGTAATATTGAATGTGAAATATAATCTGGCCTGCTTCCTTGTCTGACTCTATTTTCTCTTTGTTTACCCCTCTTCCTGAACTGCAGCTTATGAGGTCTACTTGTTTACCTACCAAGGATAAATAAACCAGATATTTATCTGCGTATAGTCATGCACCTTGTTATTGAACTGCATCCATAGCTTAAGGCTCCATTATAAAATATTCTAAAGCATATGGAATGTATTTATTTTCAATATCTCATAAGATACTTTTGGTTTCTTTGTTTACTGGCTAAGTCTGCTGGTTTGATTATGTTAGGTGTGTTTAATTATTATCATGGTGAGTGCAGAGATGGAAGTGTCCTTATTTTGAAATTATATTTTTTTATTTAGAAAAATGTAAATATTTCAATTATAGTCCAGAAAATGTTTTTTAAATAATATTTACAGGATTTCCAGAAGTTGATTGGCTGAAATATTTGTGTGATATTTCTTAGCCTTTCAGATATGGCCAGTAGAGAGAGAGAGACTATGATGTTTGAAGACTGGTATATTAAGTCCCATTCCCACGGGTGATTATTATATCTGTAGGCTGGATTGAGCATTCATGATTATTTAAGAAAAAAATTCCCTTTGACTGAGGCATATGCTAAT